GAGAATAGAATCACTATCAAAAAGAGTAAATCGATTTTTGAATCTAAAAATGAGGGCCCATTTTTCTAAAAAATGGGTAGAGACTCCATTTCTTTGAGCTGATCATGAGCTTCCCAGTGCTCACACATATTGAGATTGATTTTCACTTTGTTCATGAACAGGTAGCCAACCGAACTCTCCATGTGTGCTATATTTCCACCACTGATCAACTGGCCGACATGTTCACTAAGGATCTTGGTGGCCCTTGTTTTGAAACCATCAGGTCCAAGCTTTGCGTGGTTGCTCCACCCATCAGCTTGTCGGTGGGTGTTGAGAATAGTGGCACCTCAGATCCATGCAAAGCCATGTAAATAGGAGAGTTTGAATCTCAATCAAATTATTTTAAATTTTTGTTGTAACTTCTTATCATAGTTTATCTCTTATCTTGTAATGTTACTCTTTATCTTATAACCTTATCACTTGAGAGCCTAGCACTCGCCTAACTCTCGAACAGTTGTATTCAGCCAATATATTAATACATCAAGAGATCACAACCAACCGTGATCTGAATTCCTTCTATTTGTTTTCGTTCATCATGTAAGCTCTTAGATTTACAGGTTTCTTTTCTTTTTCTCTACTACCATCCACTCTTTATTTAGGTCATTGTTTTCCTTTGGAATATCATTCTCAACCGAATCCGCATCATTGCGGTTAGTGTTCTTCATATGAGTGATTGCAACTTTCATATTTAATGTTTGACCTGTTTCAGGAGAACTCTGCGCTCTAAGCTGTCTAGAATAGCCAAAGAGATCTTGTGTCGTTTATTAATTCCAACCTTCATGTCATCACAACTCAATTTATTTACTATGGGAACAAAGAAATTTTGCTTTTCATCACCATCCTTCTACGATGTCTTGTTATCCTATTGGCTTTCATTATCCTGGACTTCATACTCCTTTTCAGATTCTATATTGGAATTTCGTAGAACACCATCCTCGCTATCTTTGTGAGTCATATCTAAATCATATACAAATAGATTTGTGGCAATAGGAGCTAACACATGCTCCTCATCATATGAATATGCAGTTGCTTGCACAAACTTTGTAAATTCTCAGGCCTCACCCTCAACCCTAGGGTCAATTGGCTCTTAATGCAAAGCAGGTATAGGATTATCATCCATAGTTGTGGGATATTTTTCACCTGGACTTCGATTGGAGTCTTCCTGGTCACCATTGGAGTTGCTGCTATTGGCCTCATCAGAGGTATTTGGAATTGTCCCACCGATTATAGCCCCAACCCCATCACAATTCTTTACATCTAGATGAACTACACCATTATCAACATTAGCAATCTCACTTGGAATCTTCTCATCATCATTAATCTAAGGCTTAGCAATGGGAACATTTTGGTTCACTGTTGGCTTGATGAAACGCTTGCCCTTCTTCGAATTATCATTAATAGGGTTTTTCTCATCAATTCAATGTTTGGCTTTGCCTAGATGTGTAAATCGGGTTGTTCTGCCAATAGCCCGACACAGCATGACACAATGGCACGTGGGTCATGCCAAGCTCGGCATGATGGTTCAGGCCGTACTAGGCCTAGGGTTCTTAGTTCACGGGCCGCCACGGCACAACACGACTGTGCATGTCATGCCATCTCCGACATGGTACGCAGCACGGCCCGTGGGCCCATAGCTATACAAGGGGATATTTATGTATTTTGGTTTTGGGGGGAGAAAGAATGACACAAATTCCCTCAACAGCTATATAACAGCTAGTTTGGGGGCATTTGAGTAAAGTGATAAATAGCTTTACAATGACAAAAATACCCCCTCCAATAACTAAAAAGTAGCTAATTTTTAGGGTATTTTAGGCAGTTGAATTATTTTCAATTCCTATAAATAGCCTTATCCTCTACCATTTTCAACTCCTACAATGATCAAAAAGTCAAGAACAATAGGAGAAAATGAAGTCAATTTTTTTGTATACTCAATAGTTGTATAGCATTTTTTTCAAATTATTATGAATTTCGTTTTAATTTTATTTAATTTATTTGATATTTTTAATAATGTAATTTTTTATTTTCAATTTGTAACTATATTGTATTTTTTATATTTTATTAATTTATTCCATTTTCCAATTTTCATATTTCATTCATCCAACCATTGTATGCTTTGTATCATTCAAATTTAAATGAAATAAAATTCCAATTTGTTATTCACTTTGAGTCTTTTGTCTCTTTGAATTCTTATTTGGTTAAGTATTTTTTTCATTTCTTTGTTAGATTTCTTATTTTTTCAAATAATTTCCAAAGGAAAATTAAATATTTTAGTTTTACTTAACAAAGAAATAAAAAAATCAAAAATGTCAAAAAAAATAAAAAAAAAAAGTCTGGCCCGGTTCAACCCACGCCCAAGGCCCTACTTGTGACCCAACCCGACACAGTCCAAGCCTATGGCACGGGCCTGCACTGGCTTGAGCCATGGGCCGTGTTGGGCCGACCCCCCCCCAAAAAAATTATCCTAGGGAGGGCGGCACAGCCCAGGACGCTACACCTCTAATTTTGCCATGTATGCATTCCTCAATCGAATGCCCTATATTTTATCAATTCACACAATAGGAAGGGAGGTTTTCATAAATAACCTCCTGCCATAAACCTTCACGAACTTGACACTGACATGAGCCCCTAATGTTCCGGAGAGCGTAACTGTAGCCTAATCGAACTTAAGAACAGAACCAATAGCAGAGCAATAGATGTAAGCATGTTTTCAACAAAAACAAAAAAAAAAAATGACAGGGAGAAAATAAAAGGATATCCAAATCGGCACCACTGGAGGCTCCCAACCAGGTTCAAAGTCTAACACCCATTTAAAAAGACAAAAAGAAAAGGATTTGATTTTGAAAAACTCACGCATCCGTAACTTTAGAAAATCATTTTCTTCGGCAAATCTAATGAATACATGCTTCGAATCGAAAGTATAACGTTATCCCATACCTCCTTTTGCAGGCTAAAGGATTTACGTAGAAATTCTGCATTTACCCACGAATGTCCACTTCAGTACTTCATACGATATCTTCAGGATATCATTTGAAAAGAAGATTGTACGTTCACCTTGCTTCAGACTGGGCTGGACAATAGGAACATCAATGATTTATGATCGGCTTTGAGAGAGGAGAAAGTCGAGATATGACAGCAGCAAAAGGCAGCTTTGAGAGAGGAGGAGGAAGATCAGTCTTGGGAATCGCCATGAGAGATGGCGCCTAGGGTTTTCTAAAAAAGCCATAGGCGATATTCAATAATGGTCATAGTATGGCCTATTTTAATACCTAAAAGTGGAAGCATTTCATTTTAGTTTTAGATGATACACTCAATTGAAATTGGCTCATTTAGGTTGCATACAGATCAGGCTGTACTTGGATTTGATGGCATAATTGGACAACCAAATTCCAATTTTTTTTCTTTTATTTTTTGACATTTGATCCATTTCCTTTAGGCAATGGGATTTGTGAAAGAAGAGATTTTAGGTCTGAATTAGACATTTTAGCAAAATTCAAAATGATGTCAAAAATCTAGTTATCTAAGAAAAAAAATTATAATTTTTCCATATGAAACTTGAAAAAAGAAGTGGAAAAAAAAATGGTGGAAATGTAGAAACCATTTTATGAAACATGATAAAATAAAAGGGAGGAATATAAAGAAAAATATAGTTGTGTAATCAATCAATTAAAAACACAAGGAATGTCACCTGATTGGCACTCCCCATTGAGGTCCCTTTGTATGGGTACTTGGACACTCTTTGATCTTCGCAAGTTCCTCTGATTTTCCACGAAATAAAAAGAACTAGGCTTATAAGCTAGAAGCAAGGTTCAAAATATCGATACATTGCTAGGGGTGTATCAGGCGAATCGATACCTTTTTTTATTTTTTTTTTCAAAACTGGTTCAAGGGGGCCGGTTTAGAGCTCCTCCACCCCCTGAACCGGTCAGACCCTAATACATCCACTGTAGGGGCGTATTGGAGAGGTCCCAGAATGATACGTATCGGCTGATACTTTGAACCTTGGCTAGAAGAGCTTAACTCGGCTCATACAAGTAAGTCACTATCACATGGTGGGGTTGAGGAAAAGCTAAGGGGGTTGAATTAACGATTGTCATGTAGGGTTTAGGGCCATACTATTAGGGGTGAGCATTATTCAGTTAAAAATGAAAAAACGAATTGAAAATTTTGATTTCAATTTTTTTGATTCAATTATTTTGGTTTTTGGATAATTCACTGTTGGTTTTGATTTTTAGAATTAGAAATTTGGTTAAGCAAAAAAACCGAATTAACCAAACTTTGCTATATAACATGTAATATATAATATATAACACATAACATATAATGTTTAATATTTAATATATTTATATTAATATATAATATAATGAAATTTGATTTTATACTATATATTATATATTATATGTTATAATATATATATAATATAGTATATATAATTGAAATTCGGTTTTAACTGAAATAACCAAAATTTTCAGTTTCGATTTTTCTATAATTTGGTTTTGATTCGATTTTCATTTTTTAATCAAGTTTTTAACCAAATAAACCGAATGCCCACCCCTACTACAAGTCTAATGCAAGCTGTTCTTTAACCAAGTTTTACCGGATTGAAGCTTCTAATCTGTCAAGCCAAGCACAACTTGGGTTATGAGCTTGGATTTGATGTGACATCCAACACTAATATGTTGGGTATGAGCCTCTGTACGAAGTTAATGGAGTATTTACTTCACAAATACTTTGGTTTGAGGCCTTAGACGCCAAGCAACAGAAATGAAAAATTTTACAGATAAGATTCCACCAAAAATACGGATTTCAAAGCCACTGAAGAGGTCATATTTTTGCTTAGCTACTAGAGAATTTTTAATCCTCCCTCTAAAATTCACAGTTTCAATGAACAAAATGCCGGATTAATTCATTAAACAATTTAAATGCCAGAAGACTTAAACTGAGACTGAATTGGCTTGGGCCAAGGCTAATTGCAGGGCCAGCCAACAGTTCTAATCCCAACCTTATGCGTTTTGATCATCTTACAATGGTTTCATGCTGAAAAGATTATAGAACATAAAGAGAAATTGCTGAGATTTGAATTAACAACAACTTTTTATTCAGCAAAAAACTCTTCACCAATCAAAGACTCTATTATGTTACAACTTTATGGAAGAATTTAAGGGGAAAAATTTTGGGATAGGCTGGGCTAGGCTTGTTAACCCATAGCGTCAGCCACCAATCCAAAAGAATGCAAAGAAAGCTGCCATCTAACAGGACATGGAGCATGTTGGGTCCTGACACCTGACCAATAATGTTGCCTTTGTTTCTTCCATTTCAAAATTCATGCTGAAGCAACCAGGCCCCAGGGTCCCAAGTTTTCCCAATCATCCAAGGAACGCTGTCATTGGCAGACAATGGTAGAATCACACGGTTTGATGAATGAATCAATTCAATTACAATGCGAATAAATGGTCTGGCTCCCATATCATGGAGATGGAACAAAAATCCCATCGACAAGATGATATATACAAAAGTTGAGGGATCCATGTGCAGGTTCAAACTAGCTTTCCCATCTGAAATTTTACAAAACCTCCAGCAAAGAACACCTCCACTGCCAATGTGTCACCCCCTGTGATTCAATATGTATGAACATGTACACGGAAGTTGCCAGAAACAGTGTAAGTGTCAAGTATAAATATTTGGCTTTGGTGTTGCCAGGCAGCTTGCAGGTGGCAAGGGCATTATGTACAACAAGCTGAACAGCTGCTGTTGACAATGAGAAGCATAGAACAAGTGGGATTAGATGACTCGTATTGTCAAAATAAACTCAATGATACAATTGGTGGCACTCTGCATTACTGCATATGCAATCTAATGTCAGATTTTGTCATGCAAAAGTTGGTGTGGAGCAAAGCCTAGAACCGAGAAACCCAAATAAATACATCATTCAGAGCAAATGGGTGGGACATACATAGCCTGAGAAGTATCCAAAGTGACAAATTGGAGCAAAATTGGCAGGCAACATGTAGATTAAAAAAAAAAAATGAAAATGGAACTGGGCATCAAACCAGAAAGGACTTTGGTTCAAGGATTTTCTGGTTCAACCATCCATTCAACCTAAAAATATTCCCATTCTTTTGTGGTTTCCGTTGATCAGAAGGGTCTGGTTCTAGTTGATCTTGGATCAGATCCAATCTGGTTTTCAAAACTTGAATTTAAGACAGTTGTTCATCTAGAGAAGTATAACTATGTTCTCATGCATATGTCTTGAATAAACAAAGGCACAGAAATAAAACAAGAAACCAAAAGCTAGTGAAGAAGACTCACATTCATCATCAAAATTGAGGGTCAAAGGAGAAAAGCCTTCTTTGTTCATCTGTTGGATTTACCAACCATCGGCAGAGCATCCAAGCTGCACCAACCACTGAAAAGAGGGAGAGGAGAGCTAGAAAACCAAAATGTGAAACATCATTTGCAATTATTGCAACTCCTAGCATTACAAACTCTGCAAGACTTGCCACTGAAACCTCTGTTACCCCAATCAAATTTGCCTTTGAAGCTGGGATCCCAGTCTGAAGAATTTGGGCTCCTATAACTTCATATGACATGTGGCCCAACCTTGATAGCACCTGCAAACGGGAGACACATGTAAACCTCAAAAAAAGGGAAAAAAAAAAGAGAATGGTTGAAGAATTTGGGCTCCCATAACTCTGCCAATGTGAGCTTGTCTTACAATGCCAGTCCCAAGCCTGGATAAAGGAGGGCTGCATCAGGTTGGCAGGTGGCATTTAAGACTTTTTCCAAACACTAATGATCATGGATCCTGAATTGGAAACAAAGTTCAACATGGTTTAGAAATTGGTCAGTCGCAAATTTGTGCTATAGCTCAGGAAGAGCACCAGACTGGCCTTGACAGGGTTGAGGTCTTTCTCCAAAGTTGAAGCTCACACGTCAGTCTCAAGATGGCCTGAACTCAAGGTATTCATATATGGGAGGAGGTTTGCTAACCAGACCATTCAACCAATAAGGCTGAAACAACAAATGAATCTTCCCCATGAAAATTTAATTTCCCAAAATGACTACAAGTTCCACTCACCATCTTTTATTGATGGGCCAATTTGAGCCTCAAATACCTTTGCCACGTGGTTAGAATGAAACCACTTTTTGAGCAAGTTTAATATTAAAATACTTGTACTTTCAACAGTCAACATTACTTTCAACAGTCAACATTTTTGCCACATAGAAGCAAGCCATATAAGGAAAAAGGTTTGTTAGAGAATAAAAACCTATTCAGGAACCTCACTTAACAGCTTAAGCTTTTAAGTTGAATGGTTCCTTGAGATGGTATCAGAGGCTCAGAGCCTGTTTGGCCTAGTGGTCTAGTGTCCAATCATCATTACCCCCTTATGAGTAATTACATTTCAGCACAAGGTATGGGTGGGCCTATGTTTTTCCACACTTCAAGCCCAATTGAACTAGCATATCTTCTCCCATGAAAAAAAAAAGAAAAGTTCAGAAGCTCCCCCACACAACCAAATTTCTGTCACTTGGAAGGATGATGTGGCAGATCCAAATTGTCCACCAGGTACAGAACTCTCTTGATTGGCCAGGCATGTGAAGCTTTAATTTACATGATATCTAAAAAGGATAAAATGTGGGTAATTGTAAGTGTTTTGTGTTGAAAATTAACTTATGAATAGAGGCTACCTAGACCAATATGTGGGGCACTTTTGGACTCCCAACTAAATTGCCACGTAGAAGGATTCTGGGTGGTTTAGGGAAGCTCACTAAAAGACCCAACTAGCAGACCTTTTATAAGAAATAACACATATAATTTGAGAAAGGGTTCCTCAACAGGATCAAGTACTAGGGTTCCCAACAAAACCTGTCGTATTTTTGCCATATCCATCCACCAAGTAGGGGAACCACTGGTGGGCACAGGTGAAATCTTCCAGTCAATAATCAATATCAGCCTGTGGCTCACCTATTAAGAAAACATATTAGACAAAGGAACTCTCAAAACTGAGTAAAGCATCATTTTGGCTACAAGACTTTAGTAATCAATGTACATAATATAACTAAATGGATGTATATTAAGTCAGGCTGTGCCAAGGTGAGCCCAAGCCTAGCCCAAACTCAGCTTTAGGGCTCGATTGTAGCCCTATCTTGTTTCAGGCTCAAGCTGGCCTAAGTGGGTCATGGCTTGGGCTCAAGAGAGACACAAGATTAATTGATGCAAACACTCAGATATAGTTTTCAGTGTTGTATAATATTAAAGGCAATATTCAATATATTTTTCACTGTATAAGGAAAGGGTTTTCCTATGATTGGTCAAAGCCCTTCCAGTTCCGGAAACACAGATTTTTTCATAAGGAAAACATCAATAAAACTAAAATTTTGTTTTATGAATTTAAAAGGTTTGAAGTCAAGCTAGAATCACTTGGAGATTCAGGAGACTGAGAAAGTTATTCAATCTAGCAATAGCAGGAGTCATAGAACCACTTGAGTAAGAGTTGAGATAATGTATTGAAATCATAAAATTGACTAATGAGTCGGTTTAGTCATGGATGGTCTTCATTAAAATCACTATTGAGCTATTCCAATTTTATCTAATGGACTTTTGAATCATATAGCTTTATCCCAAAAATAAATCTGTTATTAGAAAAGATGCTTACAATCAAACTAAGGAAGAAAAGGAGGGTTGTCTGCTGAGAAAGAGAACCACTCCAATACACTGCAACAGCTAGAGTAAGAAGTGAAGCCTGGAATATCAACCCAGCTGCTCCAGCCTGCTATAGTGGGCCCATATATTAGACAAAATTAATACAGAAGGGTGTAAGGAAACTAGTATGGTATACCAATCATTTACATATGAAACAGAACCTTTAGAATGCCCATCCATCTGACAAGGTGTGCAGATATGAAGGTTGCAACAACGCCCATGAAAGCACATAAGCCACTGAACCCCCCAATAACAGATGGGTTTAAACCTGTTAATTCCAACAACACAAACTGAATTTAGACAGTTTGAACCATTCAATGAAGTCAGAAGAAACAAACAAAGGAGATGGTAAGAAAAGAAAAGGCAGCAATGTGGTGGAAGAGTCCCTCCTTCTTGTCTCCAGTGTTATAGATCCACTACTCAATGGAGCACAAAAGTAATACCATGTCAAAAATCAACCCAACTTGAAGATTGTCAATATCCAATCCATGATATTCTTATTCTTAGGACAAAATGGGGAACAGTCAAGAAGCATGCAGATAATAGATGGTTAATTTCAAAACCATCTCATCATGGGAAAAAGAAAATCCTGGTGGACAAAAAACGATTGGTAGTCTTCCCAACGCATTCCTCACTGATAGCCCTAGATTTAACGTGTAACTGCATTGAAACTAGATATATTTTCAGAAATACAGTACAAAGATCATGAGTTAGAAAAATACCACACTGTGTTAAGAATGCTGTCATTAAGCCACCTGGTGTAAGAACAATATTTAAGTAGAGAAGCACAGAAGCTAGGCTCACAGGAAGAACAGGTTGCTGCTTGTATTCTGTCCACCCACGCTTGATGGCAATCACAATTATTTCCACTAGTCATCGTAGAGCTCAAATTAGAAATGAAATATGGGTCAATTCCTTGCTTCTAAAGCAGAAAATATAACAAAATGCACCTAAATTTCCTGAATCTGGCCAAGCTCCTCCACTGAAAGATTTCCAACAAGCTTGTTGACATTTACAGCGATCAAGAACACCAGTAGATAGCTTGTTGGTTAGCCATGTAAGAAGAACCTGAAAATGGAACATATGCAAGAAGAGATAAAAGAAATTAAATTTTGATCACATGCTCATGCACAGGAGTACATAAAGCACAAATAGAACTACCTGAACAGGCAAAGCACATATAACTAGGCCAGCAGCTAGCCTCAAGCAGGTAACAGGGTCATACTTGGAAAGAAGAACACCAAACAATGATGCCCCAGCTATCTGTGGCCAAGAAACATGATGATATGTCTAATCAAGGAATTTTCTGACAAGGAGAAATGGTTGCAATATTTTCAAACAAGTTTCACAGTTATTGGGTTTTAATAGTAGGAAAAAAAGAAGATAAAATATATTATACACAAGAAAAGGCATATGCAATATAAAAATGTATATAATGTTTGAAAAGGTAAATGACCAAAGAAAATGGTAAACACCTCACACAGGAGATCAATGCGACTGAGAATAGCATTTGCTTGTGCAAGTGCAATTGGCCTATTGGTACCTGCTAACTGTATATGCAAATGAAAACTCATAAATATAAGTAACTTACCAATCATTGGAAAATAAAAAAATATATATATAGGAAAAGCATGTAGAACAAGAAACCAAATACCAAAACAACCCAATCCCGCTCCATGGTGACCCCCAAGGCCAAGCCAGAAAGCCTCTCAACAGCTCCAGCTAATACTAGTATTGTGAACCAAGGTTGGATAAGCACGGATGATGCAGAGGTAGCATGAATAGTGTGAGCATGAATTACCATTACAACAGATAACAACTGAGCAGCTGCCTGACACAAAAGAGGTTACAAAAAAGCACCTGTCTATTAGAAGCCCAAATAGGAACCCATTTGAAATTCTGGATCCTAAAAGTAGGTCCAACTAAAGTGAAAGAATTACCTGGATGAAACTCAAAAAGATAAATGCCGGTACTCTGGGAAAATGATCCAGAAGATTACCAACCAAAGGTCCTCCAACAAATACTGTGGACTGTTTACAACGGAACTTTGTTAGAGCTTCTTCTAAACCTAACATTATTTAGTTTTTCTTCCATGGCCTTTTTTTCCTAATCAATACTTCCACAGCCTTATTATATTTATTTTACTTTACAAGTAATCTTAAATGGGCATACCTTGGTGAAAAAACCCACAACAGCCACAGGTAAAAGGCTTGGATGTATCAATGCAATGGCAGCAGGACAAGCAAAATTCCACAGCTGCTCAATCAAACTCCTAGCTAACCAACTAGCATACATAGCTGAAAAGGTACATTTTAATAATCAGACTGTTTTATTATCTTAGAACAGATGCAGTACCATTTTGCAAATTAATAATAGTATAAGAGAATGTTACGAGCTGGGCCAATCCCATGAATAAGTGACAAACCATCATTCTCTCTAAATAGGGTTCCAACTTGGGCAGGCCTAGAATGAGCATTTGTTAAATTTTGAAGGGGCCTGATGCAAGGAACTAGGACCAATGCAGTGGAAATTCTTCAAATTGGGTATGCAATATTTACATTGATCTCTCACTAATAGAAACAAAGCGATTTATAGAACAAAAAAGTATATTCTCAAAAAGTTAGTTCCTTTTAGGGTACAAGATTCTTAAATATGGCAAGTAATCTTGTAAGTTACAAAAAAAAATGTAATAAAAAATATCTTGAGGAATTAATTATGTTGGTCTATGCTGGTTGCCCAAACAACTAATTTCAACATTTCATACCTTAAACTAGAGAGGATTGGTTGGGTTGGGCCTGTGGACATACACCCTATAGGCCTGTAGATTAGTTTGTATCAATAAGTTTGGCAACCCTCTATTTCAAAAGAGGGAGTTTCAAGGTAGTAACAAGATGTCTTAGTACACACACACACATGTGGTACTCCATTGAAAAGTGGTCTTGATCTTATTGTTTGTGCAGTTGCACATGCAGCTCGAAGGATATGGAAGACAAACTGTACTAGAAACACCCATGTAAGTTTTCCTGTTGGTATCATTGATTTCAAATTAGCAATCAAGAGTAGCTAACCAATCTTATAATCAATGTGCAAAGTTTATAAACATGATCAATTCCCCTGTGCATCAATTGATCCTGATATTCTGAATCACTTAAAGAAAATTGAGAAATATATCCTACCAAATAATCCTGCTGGATGAGCTGGGGTAGCTGCTAGAGCATTCTGCTCCTCCTCACTCAGAACCTGAAAGGTGAATGATAGGAAGCTTAGAGTCCAAACGGTAAATAACATGGAAAATTAGGGTACATAAATTATGATGTAAAATCACTTAGTTGAAATTAATAACCATACTGGCAATGTTGTCAAGAGGTTATCTATGTAGGTATCTTCAGCCAGTGAACTCAAAGATTCAGTCCCAAGAATCTCCGATTGGACATGAACAAGTGGAAATGAGCAACCAGATGGAATAGATGACAAGTCATCTGGGATATCTTCCTCTGTAGCAACGTGATTGAAATGCACGTCAGTATTTGTGATGGAACACCTTGAAGTGAAACTGGCTAGCCTGTAACAGAGAAAAAAAGAAAGATTTGAACAGTTACATATAGTATTTTACTTAAGTGTATCTGAAGTCACATCATAGGCAAAATACTAAAAGGGTGCCTCGAATACTAGTTATTATTGACACACCCTGTGATGATAGTCTCATTGCTTCGCAGCCTGAGGTTTACAAACACCACAGAAACTCCTATTGTCTAATAAGTCCTACCTTTTCTTTCTTTTTTTTATTTTCCCCTTGACTTCCAATAAGAGAACCAAGTTAAACCCCTATTGTTATTATTTTCTTGGATTTATCATATAATTTAGCTTGCTTCTCTCTGCAAATAAACCAACACAATAATGTACTAGGAGGCATACAGGACACTTGAAAACATAATATGCAAATCAATCTGCTGAAGCAGAAACTGTTTTTTTCTTTTTTGGTCTTCTTTTCCATATAATTAACTACTAGCAAAGCTTTCGAAAAATCAGAAATCGAGATAAAATATCAGAGGACTGCATTACTTGCAAGAAGCGGAAGAGCTATTCAGCCATTGGCGAGAAGCGATGCGACGGCGAATCCGAGAAGGTTTCCTCACATAAGAAACTCGACGAAGAGAAACAGTGACGAGAGACGAAGACGGTGATTGAGAAAGGATAACCAACCCCATTGCTGCTTCAAGTAGCTCGTCTTGAAGGACCGCTTCTGTTCTCCCCAACTCATGCAGTCTTCCAGCAGATAAAATAAACAACACAAGAGCACGAGTAGTTCACCGGTTCATGGAAATTTTAGAAAAAAAAATAATAATAAAATAAAAATTAAAAAAAAAAATGTTCAAGGATCTCATTGGCGCTGAGGATGTTTAATTGTTTATCAATCATGGTGTCTGAGAATCTGAAAGTTACCCCTGTTCACGTAACCATATATCTTTCTGGTTTCTGATTTCTGATTTTTTTTTTATTCGTTCCCCCGTTCCCTCTGTTCCTTACTCCTTATCCGATAATCTCTGTTTTCAGCTGGCCTGGAGGCAGATGAGTCGATGCTTCTCTGTTTCTGCGGTTGAGTTGAGAGTGTACTATTCACTATTTAAATATGTGATGCCGTATGCGAGTAAGTGTAGGACCCACTAAATAAGAAATCCACGTCAGCGGGCAAGATGAGGTATAGTGGGGTCCACTTCTGCACGCGGAAGAATCAGATTTTAGATCGCTGACTGAAACTAAACATTTAAACCATATAAGATTTCTACGCAAAATGCAAATTCGACAAACGCGTGGGCGAGACGCACTCTATCGGATCACAACCGTCCATATAATTATGGCGAATTGATATAATGTTTAGGTTTATGTAAGTACGGTAGTATCACGAGTATCTTATCGTCTCTTGTTAACGAACACGTTGTCCAAATCCAATAACATTTGTCTGGCTGGAATTTAGGGTCCGTTTGATTTACAACAATAGGTGCTTGGATGGAATATTACTAAATTAATAATAAAATATTAATATAATATAATTAAATAAAATTAAAATATTATAATAAAACATTGATAATTAAATAATAAAAGATTATGAAAGTAAGCATAAGATAATAATAATAATAATAATAAAATCATAGTATATTAATAATTAAAATGATAATAAAATATTAGCAAAATATTCACAAAATAATAATGCTATAATAAAATATTAATAAATTCAAAATAAAAATTAAAAGATATTAAAGTAATAATAAAATACTTACATATTATTCATTAAATAATAATAAATTAATTTTGAAATAATAAACAAACATAACAGAATATTAATAAACTAAGAAGAAAAATATTATTAAAGTAATAATATATAACTAATCTACCCTTTTGCAAGTTTTCAAAAGTAGATTAGTTCGACCACTTGCCTAGTTTCATCCTCTCACTACCAAAAAAAAAATGTATATTTGTAATGTTAGACAAACGTCACCAAAGATGGCACAAGTGTTACGAAAATGTTTTCGTGACGTTTGCTCCCTTGTCACCAAATGTAGTGTCGACAAAAGTTTACATGTGAAGTTTCTCATACGTTACTAAAAGTTTCCAAGAGTCACTCATGCACAATTTTGATGACATTTATTTGTTTATTTTCGTTACGTTTTCTGAAATGTCACAAAAACTTGTTTAATGTCACCAAAAACATTGGTGGTTGGAAACACCTCCACTTGTATGTTTGTCATTACCTAGTATAGAGCTTATAGTAACATGTTTTTAAATCAATTATATACATTCATTTTCAACAAAAAATATTATATCCATTCATTAAATTACACGTAATAACCATTCAAARTAAAAGATCATTAATATCATTAAAAATTGAAATCTAATATTAAATAAAAGGTAATATATTTACAATTGTTCATATTTTAGTCCAAATGAAATTAAAATATTACAAAAAAAGGAAAATAGAACACTCATCAAAAGTTTCTTTCCTTTGCCAAAAAGATTACAAAAATAAAAGGAACACTCATCAAAATCGTGTATTTTCCCTTTCCCTTGCGCTTCCCCTTCTCCCCCTCGTTTATAGACACTTGAGATGGCTTTCTTCTAGGCTCTTGCATCTGTTACAAAACACAGAGAAATACAAAATTATTTTCCCACCAAAAGATGTGAGAAAATGAAAAGTAAATCAAATTTGTGATATGTTACCTTCTAGAGTGGGATGAGAATTATCTCCACTATGAACTGGAGAGGTTGCTAACTCATGTATCTACACATAAAAGACAAAGTTAAGAAAATTATTTTGATGCTAAAATATGTAAGTAATGAGAAATAAAACCCAACTTGTAATAACTTACTTCATGAGTGGGGTGGAATTTATTTCCACCCTGAACTGGAATATTTGCCGACCCATAGCTCTGCTTCTAATATAAGTATTTTTCATAAACTAAACAGAGAATAAGAAAGTTGAAAATATCATGAAATTATTTGGTGGTGACTGATGCTAGAAATATTGATCTTTAATGGCAATTAATTAAAAACTGCCACTAAAGACCAAGCGACTACCGCTACAAAAGTGACGCAAACTAGGTAGGTTTTCCACCAAGTAAATCACTCTCTCTTGCGGTTTCTCTCACAATTGCACATCAGCAGCATTTGATTCACAAGTAAATCGGTCTCTCTCTCTCTCTCTATTTTTGTATTCAATATGAGCCTCTATGGTGATGATTACTGCTAAATTCTCCGCACTAGAAGTGGCTTTGCATTTAGGACCACAATAGGCGGTTCAACTTCGTATTTGCTTTTGTTAAGTTTGATCTTTTGCTATACAACTGTGTTACTTATTTTTACTTTTTTTCCTTTAGGTTGGTAAAATAATTGATTAAAAAGTGGGAGAACTCAAGGTTTCAGATCAAACAAAAGAGACCAAAGAAAAAGAATGGTTTTACGTAGGAGGAATTGTAGGAGTGATTAACAACCTAGAAGTAGAATATACCTTTAGCTAAGCTAGCTACATTTTATGAACATTATTTTCTAAGACTGGTCTAACTTGAAAGCAAGTCAAAACATCATGTGGATCTGATTGGGTTTGTGGAAGCAAAATGGATAAGAATACTTGGTTCTTATTAGCATAAATTTAGATAATGTTAACTTTCTTACAGAAATATATTTTCACATGTTTTGATGGACTGTTATGTATATCTTAGGAATTGGGAGTAGAACTGTTGTCATTCTAGTAATTACTAGTTAAACAATTTCGTATATTTAATGTTTGGATAGAAAGAATACATGAGGTCAATGGGAATCAAAATCCCATTGACCAACTTTCCCCCCTCTCAAAATCAAAAAAAGAACACCCCCTTAGTATAAAAACACTTTCTTACCAAACACCTACAAAATTTAACTAGGGTCAGGACAGTTTACAGTACCAAGACCAGAAATGAATTCTATTTATACTTACAAGTGCTTGTGTAGATACACCAAGATGGGTTGGACTAAGACTGAAAAACTAAAGTCGGTTTCAATCCCATATCTTGGCTCTCTCTCTCTCTCCAGCTTGGCTGGGAGCTTTCAATGACCTTTCTCCATCAAATGAAGTTAGTAGATAAATTGAAGAAAACTGTTTAGAATATACTTGTCACTTTGGTAGACATAAACACAAATATAAAGGAACTAAATATCCTTCACTTCTACTTTTCTCACACTTCCATTCAGTCTATGACAGGTGCCCCCTTACACTTTACTGCATTGTTGGATTATCTGGTTTCTTTTTCTTTCACATATGAGAAAAGAGACTAAAACTCTCCATGAGCCTCTAACTGGTAATTCATGATTGGGTTTCCACTTTCACAAGTTTCAACAGGGGTTTCATCATTGTTCATGACAAAGGGCCTTAGCCCAGTAGCAAAGAAGTGGAGTAAGGATGCCAATGAGGTGGTCCAATTGGTTATCTTTCTTACCCAAAGATGTCCCTATAGGGACGGGCTTGTTTGGGGTAAGAATACTGCACCAATCCTAATAAATCATGTCCTAATTAACTAGTTAGAGAAAGCATGACTACTTCTAAGTCTTTAACCTATTGGTCTGCACAACCCCAACGAGATCAATTGGAAGGGCTCTTGTCTATATATGTATAATGCAGTTGTCCTCATCAGATTTCTCATATTGCTTTTCAACCCCTTTACAATTTTGTGCTTTTTTAATTTAAAAAAAAAAAAAAATGAATATGATCTATTTAAACTCACCCACAACCAATTCTGTTAAGAAATTGGATGTAACATAAACTTTTTAACACCAGCCCCTGCATCACACTAGTCTCTTTATGTTCTGTTTAACAGCCCCAAGTTGGCCAAGCTGAATGGGTCAAATTCCCCTTTCAACATCACAGCAGACCTCTCTCTTAAATCTCAGTGAAATTTTGCTGTCGTATCCAAATAAATGCTGCCTTCGGATTTGACAGACCTACTAGATTTTGACAGGGTAGTCATCTATCTTATTTGGATGCTATGTTGAACATTAGAAAGTTCAGAGATTGGCTTTAGCATGCATTCTTTGGGAATGATTTAGATATTTTCTTTGTGACAAGTGATTCCAAAGGATCAAGAATGGGTTTGAGGAGTCTGTTGGACAATGGCTAAAATGGTTGAACTGAATAACTAATTACTTTGTCATTTAGTGGATAAAATAATTAAATAATAGAATATTCAAGGGTATTGTAACCAACCCAACTTCAATTTTCAGGAGTTAACAATCTCCTTAAAATCTTATTCACTGAAAAACAAAACAATAAGTCATTAAATTCGGCCATGTCAACTGTTTTCAAAAGGACCTCTAAGTCAAGGAATTCAACAAATGGCTTGTGAAGCTCATAATCTTAGGTTGAACTAAATGTTACCTGAACTGAATGTTAAGGGGGGATCGGAATAGGGATTCCATATTGTTGAGAGGCTTGTTGTAGCAAGGCATGCATCTGTGACATCTTGGCATCCATAGCCTCTATGTTGGCCCGCATCACGCTCCCATCTTTGCATCTTTGCTGCATTAAATAGGCTTTGTTGAATATCATCCAACATGTCCTTCACTTTCTCAACCAGATTGGCCATTGGTATGTCAACTTTTGCTGAATTGTCACAGCGAATAGTATGCACCTGATTATTAGTCAAATCCTTTGGTCCAATTTCAATTCTTAGAGGAGCACCTTTCATTTCCCAATGCGAGTACTTCCAACCAGGTGAGTAATTGTCCCTAAAGTCTGCCTCAGCTCAAAAACCAACTTCACTTAAGGTATTCACAGTTGCAGAGCAGGCATCAAATAGAGCTTGTGTATCGGCATCTCTGTAAGGAACAGGAACCACAATAACTTGTAGGGATGCTACTTTAGGTGGCGGTACCAGTCTTCATATATCCTTCTGTACAACTCCAAAATCTCAAGAACCTCTCCATCAACTTCATCCTTGGTTGCAAAAGTTGTATGCCCTTCTTGCCAAAGAAACTCATGACTCCTTATGAATGGGGTAGGATGGCTGAACTCCCATCTAACAACATTGCACCATTGGTTAAGCTTCAAAGGCAAAT